AGAGCTTGTTTCGCCGGTGTCGCCAGTTTCGGCATTCAAAGAGAAGATGGTGTGTTGTTTCCCTTGATAAGCCACAACCTCTGCAGGTTGCATCCTCTTGGGCCTTGATTTGATGTAGATATACTCCAATAGCTGCATGTCCTGACTTCAGTTGAAAGTACCGGCTTGCTAGATGCTTGGGAGCAACTGCAGCTGTTGGGTTGAGCTGCAAGTTTTTCCGCGGCCTGTACATTCGTTGACCTTGTTGAGATTGTTGGCTGAGCTTTTTGGTGAGCCATCTCTGCTTCCATGTTGTGATGGCTTCTGTTCGGACTCTACAGGCAAATGCCAGGGAGATCTCTCTTGGGCCTCTTCCTGGGGGTTTGTAGGCTGCCTGCTTTGCTACCTGGTCGGCTTTCTCATTTCCTTCTATCTCTGCGTGTCCTGGAACCCACTGGATAGTGGGTTGATGACCTCGGGCATGTAGTCTCTTGGCTATTGCATGTGCTTGGATTGCTAATGCTTGGCCTGGTCCAGGCTGGGTATGTTGCAGCCTCGCGATGGCGGCCTGGGAGTCCAGCAGGATAATCACTGGTCTCTGATTTTCCACTTTCTCTGCTAACTGGAGTGCTCGAACAACTCCAAGAAGCTCTGCATCAAAGACCTCGCATCCCTTGCCCAATGGGAACCCCTGGGTCTTCCATATTCCTCCTGGCTCTTGCCAAGTGATCCCTGCCCCGCATCTGCCGTTCTCTAATCTTGATCCATCTGACCAGATTGCTAATCCAGGAGGGAGAGATTGCGCTGCTGCCAGGGCCTCTGGACCTAGTAGCACTTCTATTTGACCTAGGAACTGGCTACTGGCTGTCTGTATCGTGCTTTCAAAGCCCTCGGATGGGTCTGCTGGTGGGATATTGGCTAGTTGTCGAGCTAGATGTTGACCCAGGGACCATGGGCCCCGGTTGCTGCTTTCTGCCCATTGTCGGTTCCCTGGGGTCTGCTCCCCAGGCTGAGTGTGCTGATCCCCTTCTCAGAAGCTCACTGGGAGGATCTTTTTAGCTGGGTGGTTCTCCAGGAATCAGACTGTGTTAGCGCAGAACCTGACAGGGAAAATGACTCGATGAAAGTAGATAAGAGGGCCTGCTCAAATAAGTGCTGTGGGGACGGCTGATCCGGGACACAAGGAAGTACACATGCGCGCTCAGCAATGATATCATTGTTTTCGTGGAAAGAAATCAAGCCTGTCCAGACTGCCCACTTCCATTCCCACTACTACTGGGCCCAGCATTGACCATGAACAGACCATTGTAGACGCCAGGACACGGTTTTCTGATTCGTCTGCATCGGGAACATTCTGGACGGCCCTCGTCACACTTAGGAACCAAGCTCGTCAATATCGGCCATACAAGACAGATGAAACGGCACTCACCTTGATCTTGCGCCGTAGACACAGGGAACAGCCCCTACTTCAGCTCACTGACTGAACCATGAGAATACTTTAGCTTCATCTGCGAATCAAGGAGGAGCTAGCTCGACCTCAACTTCCATATGATCACAACGTTTGCTAGAATTGGTGGTATTCTTCAGCATTCTGTGGAGGACAACCGGACAAGACGGGGTAGTTGAGAAATGGTGCGTGGGGTTAGTTTACGAGTTAAGAAACCGTAGCGAGTGGAGAAACTCAAAAATGGCGTTTAATCCGTCTTCATTCATTGGTAGATACTGGCTGATTGACCTACCCACAGCACTGTTCAGGCTAGTTTTCCGGGTGAGCCGTTTATGCCCGATAAGAGCATCATGAAAGGAGATTGACTTCCTTTTATTGGGAAGGTTGTGACTAGAGTTAGTGAGGTGGTTAAAAAGTGAGAATTCCTAGACCGGGAAGGAACCCAAGAAGATTAAAGTTGGAGAATGTTGGAACCCAGGAAGTAGTGGACATATGGCTCAACCAATGGAATCACAAAAGGAGGTCTGAATTACTGTATAGCTCCTATCAGACCGCATCGGCTTCTATTACATGAAAAATATCAGCGCACAATTAACCGAGAGAGACCACCAGAAGTTAGATTGGCACAAGTCACGCATTTTAACCTGGATGAGCAACGTTCTCTCTGTGACCCGTGCCGGAAATCATCCCATTCGCAAGAAAGAATGGCTTGACGGCACCGAAGAGGACATTCAGCGGTTGCTGAAAAGGGCTAGCGGTATTGAAGCCATCATGCTGCAGAACGTGGGCGAGAATCTTCTATCCTTCCTGCGCGGGGAGGTGATAATGCTCGAAGTACTTCAAAAAGATGACATCCTGGACCAGTCCTACAAGAACGCTGCCGAAACCATGGCGATGAATACGCACCTGGGAGACATCATCAAGCAAATCGCTTTCCGATTCCCACGGATGAAGATCCTCGAGCTAGGGACTGGCACAGGCTCGGCCATCAACACTGTCCTTTAACGTATTGGCCGTTCATACCACTCGTACACTTTCACTGATATTTCGGCTGGTTTCTTTGGAAAGGCACAGAACGCGTTCGTAAAGCACAGCGATCGCTTGATCTACAGGGTTTTTGACCTGGAGCAAGAGACCGAAGCACAGGATTTTGAAGTAAACAGTTACAACCTCACCATCGCGGCAAATGTCCTGCACACCACCAAGTCCCTCGAGAAGTCACTGCAGCGTGTGCGTCGTTTGCTAAAACCTGGTGGCTCGGTGAGCAAGACGGCTGGTCTTGGGGCGCGCTGGTCGACCGAACTGTGTGGGAGAGACTTCTGCGGATACAGGCTTCAATGGATTTGAAACCATCACACCCAAGCATGACTACAAGGAGGGGGCATTTGCCGTCTTCGTTGTACAGGCAGATGATGACCGTATGCGCCGACTTCGTGAGACACTCACTATCCCTGCCGTCCCTGCAGCAAACGGGGCCTCCAAATCCCCAGATTTGATTCTGGTCGGAGGAGAAACAACTCTTCTTGTGGGCACTATAAGGAAGATCCTGTCTTATCATTTCAGTCGTGTAACTGATGCGCGCACGCTGGAGGCCCTGGCTAGGCAAAAAGGATGGTAATCCACTGCTCCTGTTGTTTTGTACCTCGTTGAGGCCGAGAATCCGTACTTGAGTATGTCCCGGGGGTTCCTGAACTCGGTGCGCTATGAGCAGCCGCAGTGTCTGTTTCAGCATTTGAATGTGGTAAAGCCGGAAAAGTCAAGTGAAGCCCTAATCGCCAGGACTTTGATGTGTCTCGTACATTGCCGCTAATGATTATGCTTTGAGAGAGTGTGTCGAGTCCATCGAGCCTGATCTTCGATTCGAGAATGGTATCACGAAAATCTCTCGCATCCAGACTGGTCATGGTACGAATCAGCGGTACAACGCCAATAGAAGGGTCATACGGGATCTGGTGGATCTGGACTGATGAGATCTGATAGGTCGGATCAAAGGGATAACGTTAGTCCGACTAGCGAACCTCCGATATATGGCCAAAAACAACTACCCTCAGCGCAGAGCGAATTTTTAGAATTTCTCGCTAAGCAGAAGCTTAATTGACCTTAAACCTGGACCAACCTATTAACCAGGCCTCTGGCTATCGCCCAGTACCCAGAAGTCATGGTTAGTGGAGCTGTCTGGCCAGTGTTGGGGATCCAGCCCCCCAACCACCTCGAGCACGCCACCCAAATCATAGCCGAGGCCACAGCACTGTTGGAGCTCGACAACACCAAACGCACCAAACTACCATCCCAATC